GAAATATATTATGAAAGTTATGTAATGACGGATATGGATAGGAATGATAAATTGGTTATTCTTCCTAAATCTTTATGGAAGAGTCCTGACTTTTGCCCTAAGCAATGCCAGATTAAGAATATAACAAATAATGAGTAATTTGGTATGTTCAAGAATTGCTGTGGGAAAGATCTAAATTATACCAATGACTTAGGTATGCATATCCTTTGTAGATGCAGTAATTCATATTATACCATCTAAAAGGGCAGCCTCAAATCACAAGTGCACTAGTTTAGTACAAAGAAAAACCCAACTTAAAGGATTTATTCCAATTCTGGAATTTTGCTACACATACCCCTTAAATACTATTAACTAGTAAGATTTTTTCTTGAAAATCTGCTCTTTCCATTAATAAGAAACTATGTAGGAAACATCAGCATTCAAGCTACACCTAACCAGACAAATTTGTTTTGATAAAGCCTCTCTTCCTCATACTTAAGTATTTAAAGAGTAATGCAATTAAGAAATAAACAGTATGTGTTCAGAAAAGGAAATGCATACTGGTCTAAAACCCTATTTCATGTCATTTCACGTTACTTTCTTTTGTTTTGGTTACCTGCATCACTCTCTATCCCCCACAACCCTCCAACTTCTGCCATTTTAGGAAAGAAAAGTCAAGATCCTTTTATATCTTGCCCCCTCCCAAATCAACCACTCCTCAGGAAAAAGATTCATTCTGGTTTCTTTATCACCTGATTGGTGAGGCTGCTCTTTGTTCCTGGAGGACACTAGAGAGCATGACTGCTTCCAATCTCTTTGAAAGACTGAACTCCATTCTAAACTAGCAAGTACCAGATCCATAAATCTAGTATCATGTTTTACTATTTCCAAATTAGTGCTATCAGAATTCTCAAAGAATAAATTGGTACTACATTTATTCTCAGGAGGTAGAAAACAAATATACCCCACTATCAGTATTGTAGTGTAAAAAACCACTTCTCAGAAAGGCAATTTTGTTCAAAATATCCTCCTTCCCCTATAAGGAACAAACAATTGTTACTAAAATAGTTACTTAAGGAGTGTGTCTTATCCACACACACAAGTCCTTGGGTTTTCTAAAAAGCTAAGCAATGTTCAGTCTGTATGATTTGGTTCACACAAAATTTTAAACACTGTATGTGTCACTATGAATAAAAATGGCCATACTCCGACTGATACAACTCTTGGTTTAGGGAATTTCAGGCACTTCTGGATCAGTCTTTCTGGAAATCTATGATAATTTCCTTTACTTAGAGCCATGTTCATGACTGATGAGTATTTTAGTAATCAGCATGCACTCCAATGAATATATCAATATCAGTTTTTATACTAAATAATAACATCACCCATACATAGGATGCTATACTTTGATTACAAAATCCTTGGTAAGAGTACCTAGATATTTAGATAGGCGTAAGATGGTATCCAGCGTGTGATGTGAACATCAACTGTAAAGCTAGAAGGGCAAAATTACCTCCACAATTAAATATAAAGAAATGTAAGCTCCCAAGAAAGACACAGATTAAAGTAAGGAGCGTTCATTTTTAAAGACTAAATGCAGTAAGACTTTCAGAGCTCTAAGCAGTATCTATAGATTTTACACCAAAGGTAAGAGTGAGAGTTCTGCCTCCTGACATACATTTACATAATCCTCTCACTTAAATGTTAAGTAAAACCAAAACAAACTCCATAAAAAACGCATCTACATATATGAGATATACATATATATACATTTCATACATATATTATCTCATATATATAATTGTACAAAATTTGTATTTATAGCACATACCAGGACACACCACTTAACATTCACAATTTATGACACTTTATCAGTAGTCATTAGCAAACTACAGAAATAAAATCATTAAGATGTAGAGATATATGCCACTAAGGGATCCTTACAATCAGGTTTTCAACAGTCTTTTGGTTGCAGTTGACAGTTCACAATTGCAGCCATTCATAAGAGTTCCTGGAATGTGGTCTACAGAGTTCACTTTGGTCAGCTATCTACGGAAAACGATCTGTACTGTGTTCCTTTTCCAAAAGGGCCAGTAATATTTTGCTCCTCCCCCCATTTACCAAAAAGACTGTTAAGTGTATAGGTAGTTTAAACAAATTTTGTAACGTTCACTGTACAAGGAGCTACACATTTTTTAATGAACTATATTTTCAATCATTATTATATCCTCCAGATAACACGAAATCAATTTGAAGAAATCTCAACAGCTGACCATAAGCCTTTTAATTAAGAAAGGCTACAGTGGTATATCGTAGGGTCAACAGACAATGTTAACTGAGAACTTTAAGACATTTTCTTTGTACATACAACCATCAGCCCTTTTAAAGGTATAATAATAAGACGTATTAATGGAGTCTGACTCCTTAAAATAAATGGTCTCAAAATGAGCCAGTATAGAGCCTTGTATTAAGATGACAGAACCAAAATCACCAGACAATTTTCAACATATATCAACCTAAACCACCTCAATATTTTTGTTAATCTTCTATTTTCCTTCCTTTTCTCAAATTGACTGTGTTTACTAACATCAACGTTTTGTTTTTAAAAAGCAAACATCTTACTTACGGGTATTTTCTTAGGCTCTGAAATTTGTCAACCTATTCACAAAGTTTAAGTCATAATTACTCAAGACCTCTCACTCTAGTGACTCTAGTGTTTCATTTTACATTTGCATGATGGCAAATAAAACTATGCAGATTTTAATTTAAGAGGGGAACCTAAAATCATCATTTAAAATTATGATTTTGTTAGTACTGTCTCCTCAAAAGCACTCATTCTCAGTAACTTCAACATATGTCTGGAAAAGCTGTGTTATTAATTTCAAGCAAACAACTTTAAAACGCCCTTTTACAAAGGTTTTCCTTTAAAAAAACAAAACTATTCCTATTTAATGGATTTATTCCTTCACCAGGTGTGTTGCTCCAGTGACAAAACAGTCAAATGTGTAAGATTACATCTTGGAAACTAGCGTGTTAAATTAAAAAATCAATGAAAGACTACTAACAAAAATTAGAAATGCACGTTTGATAAGCAATGCAGATTTTAAAAGACTAGGTGGGGGAGAGAAGTGCCACTTTTAAAATAGGACTGCACACACATCAAAACCCCCGCAATGGATTAACCGCTGCAATTGATAAGGACACTGACACAGCAGTATCTGTAGTTCAAACATTGACATGTTTGGAAATAAAGATTCTTGAGATTAGCAACTCTTTTAATAAAGTAAGAGAAGAAAAAAATGCATCTTTGAGGTCATACCCTAAGGAATACATCCCAGAGTTTCCATTTATCAACAGATCTCTGCTTCATGCCGTATCATCATATTAAAGTTCTGGGGAATGTAATTACATGTGCTGTAAACTGAGAGAAGTGTGAAGAAGAGAAAATATATTCTTCATTCACATGTGTGCATGTGTTGGGGGGCTTGGGAAACCAGTCATCATTTCTTGAAGAGCGATGGGGGCAGCCAACAACAGGAACAGAGAGCTAAGTAATCGGTTATTTACCAACCCATCAGAAAAAAACTGGCTTCTGGCGGCTAGGAAAGGGAAGATGCCTGTTGAGTATTACCAAAGGTGAACACGTAAACTCAATCTGCATTTCAGGTGTGCCCCTATGTGTGAAAAGTGAAAAATGGGAGCAAACATAAAGAGAGATTTTTCTGAGTGGCTTGTGGCATCAGTTTCTTTACTTGGTAGTCCCATCCACATAAAATTTCTCAACAACTAGCTGGCTGAGCTCAATTATGGGCACGTGGTATTCTCTAAGAGTTCTCAAATGGAAAAAAGACTCCACACAAGCAAGTCACCTACAAAAAAAGACGAACTTCGAGTTATAAAAAGCAGAGAAGATGAATTTCAGTGATCATTTTTCAAACCAACAGAAGTGTATAACAAAAATACTAGACTACGTAGAAATGAAAAGTTAAAAGAATGTGAAGGAACTCAGAAGAAACAGCGGAAGAAAAAGCTTTAACAGGTCTCAATGTATTCTACATACTAATTATTCTAGAAATCCATAAAACTAGTTCTAATCTTTTAACACATCTAATCAACCTCAAAAAAAGCTCCCAAACAAATGTCTAACAGTAAATTACCTGAAACTTTCTATATAATTTTTAAATGTAATTTTAAAGCTTTGTTCAAGTCAGTAGTTAAAAATTTGCGTTATACATATTATGACAAATTTTCATGTGACATTTCCTCAAAATCACTTAAAATCCTGATTAAACCATAACCAAACATTATCAACTGTTGTAGAACTGGTGTGGCAATCCAACAGTTTTCACTTAAAGCATTAAAAAAAGCATCCCTTAAATAGAGGGAGCCAATTGTTGACACTTACACTCGTACTACAAAATTATTCTAATTTCAAGAACTACAACTTTACTACTGTCAAAGAGTCTCTCACACCTCCTCCCACAGTGAAAAGACTGATGGGAGATAAGAACATCTTTCCAATACTCTCTGCTTTAAACAAAAGTATCCTAAAGATGTCACTGGGAAGCCTCCTGACCTCCCATCCCCTTGCAATAAGAGGCTGGATGAAGATATGACCTTCAAGGCTGGATCTGACATTTTACCATTCTCTCTCCAGCCTTTGCAGATACTAACAAGACTCTGCTGTAAGCGCTCAAGTGCGACTCATACCTAAGAAAGGGACAATCCAGTGGGGCATAACCTACCAGCTACCACTTCTAAATTGAGAGGAGTAAGGTAAAACCCATCTTTTTGAATAAACAATGCTGCATCCCTAACCACTTTACTGCTTTTAAACTGTGACAAGACCAACTCTCTCATTACACACCTCAAGAACTGATAAACCAATTTTACTAAGCACAAACTTTTACATTTAAATATGCTGAGGGCCTCACACTGAAAAAAGAGCTCTTCCAAAGCTGCATCCCCAACTACAACGCCTGGCCAAGCATTCCTATCAAACGTTTGAATAGGTTCCATACCTGTCTTCATCACCATCAACAGGAATAGCTATGCTGAACACAGAGGTGGTGAGGCTGTTCATGGGTGTTAACTGCAGGGGGTTTGCCAGGGCATCTGCAACAGGAGGCTTCACAACAGGCTTAGTTTCAGCAGCGATGGAAAGTGGCGGTTGAGGTAGGGGTTCGGATTTTCTTCTGGTATCGTCAATCTGCCCCACTAGAGGCTGGGTGTGAGTCTGAAACTGGCTTAGGTCAGGCTGTGGTAGACTCGTTGGTGCACTGGCTGTGCCCTGCGCCACGGGCAGCCCCACATGCGGGATGCTGCCGCCGCTCCTGCTGACTGGCGTGTGGCTGCTCAGCTGCTGCGACTGGACCAGAGGCGCGGGGACATTTGGCATAGTAACAGAGGTGGTAGACACACTAGGCACGCTTGGAGCGGGCACGGCTGCAGGCACGTTTGGAACTCCGGGCACCACGGCGAGAGGGCCACTGGGCCCGGCTGGCGGCACCCCGCCGCCGACCATCTGCGGCTGCGGGACGGACAGGGGCGGCCCCGCGCCTCCCACGGCAGCGGGGGGTCCTCCGGCCGGCTGGCCCGGCGCGGCCTGGCCGCCCTGCGAGGGTCCCGGCCCCGGGGCCACGGCGTCCCCGGGCAGGGTGGGCGCGCCCATCACCTGCGCGCCGGCCGAGGCGGCACTCTGGCCCGGGCCCACGGGAAGGCTGGCCGCCGCGGCGGGGCTGGCGCCGGCGGCCGAGGGCTGCGCGGGGCTGGGCGGCTGCAGGCCGACCACGTGCTGCTGCAGGTACTCACTCTGGCCGGAGGGCGCGCCGGGCAGCAGGTGCGGCGGCGGCAGCTGAGGCTGGGGGTACGCGAAGGGCGGCGGCGGCTGCGGGGCAGGAGCGCCGACCGCCAGGCCGGGTTGCGCCAGGGCGACAGGCGGCAGCGGCAGCGCCTGGCCCCCGGGCCCCGGAGGGCCGACGGCGGGCCCGCTGCCCTGGAGCTGGCTGGGCTGCAGGGCGGCCATCAGCGGCGGCGGCCCGGCCGCGGCGCCCGGGAACGGCGGCGGCGGAGCCGAGCCCGGAGCCACAGCCCCACCTACGGGCGGCGGCGGCTGCCCCACGCCAAAGCTCTGCGGCGGGGCCGCGGCGGGCTGGCCCATCCTCTCCGACGGGGGCAGCTGTGACACAGCAGTCAGCGAGCTGTCAGTTCCCGAGTCGGGCCCGTGCGCCCCCTGCATGGAGGCCACCACCACCACCACCGAGCCTCCGGTGGCGCCCAGGCCGCTGTCCCGCTCCGCGGTCTGCTCGAAAGTACTGCTGTGCCGAATGCAGTCCCCGGAGCGGGTCAGGACGCTGCTGTCCGAGTCGCGCTCGTAGTACTCCATGCACGTCCACCGGCCGCGCCGGTACGGCTCCCCGCTGCCGTGGTCCAGCTTGATCACGCGGAAACGGGAGCTGCACGCGGCGGGGGGCGGCGCGGGGGCCGCGGGCCCGGGCGCGGCGGAGGAGCCCGCCGCCGGGGGCGCGCCGGGGGCCGTAGGGGCAGCCGCCGCCGGGGGATGGGCCGGCGCCCCGGCCACGCCGCGGGCCGGGCCGGCTCCTCCTCCGTTGGCGGGCGCAGCCGCGGCGGCCGCCAGCTGCCCGTCCAGGAGGAGGTTCGGGGAGACGGTCCCGGGGGTCTCGGCCTCCCCGACATTGTTGAGCGTCTCTTCGGAGGAGCTGCGCTCGCACACCTCCTCGGGGCCGTAATCCGTGGCCCGGGAAACGTCGAAGATCTCGGAGGAGACGTCCTCCGTGCGCGACTCGTCCGGGTCGTCCAGGCTCTCGGTGTCCTCGGTGATGCTGGTGGCCACCTGGGCCGTGGTGACACTGGTGATCTGGAAGCAGCTCTTCTTCTTGGCCGGCATCTTGGACATGGCGAGGGGCCCGGGGCAGAGGCGCGCCGCTCCTCCGCGGGCCGCCGGAAGCCAGGCGGGGCCGAGCGGGCCCGAAGACAAAGTCCGGTCGGCGCGGGGGCCGGGCCCGCGCGCGCGGTCACGGGCTGCGGGGGGCGCCGGCCGGCCCGTGCGGCATCCTCGTCGCGGCTCCGCGCCGCCGGCTCGCTCGGCGGCGGCTGCTCCTTCCGCGGCGCCTCCGCGGCCGCGGCGCCTCAGCGAGGCCCTCGGCGGCGGCGCGAGCGCGACCCCAGGGGCGGGCGGCGTCCTCCGGCCGTCCCCGGGCCGCCGGGGGCACTCCCCGGCCTCGCGCGGCCCGCAGGCCCGGCGGGGGTGGAGCGGGAGGGCGGCGGCGTGAGGGGCGGCGCCGGCGTCAGCCCGGGCTCGGGACGCTGAGGCGAGCAGGCAGGGCTGCGGGCTCCGGCGGCGCTCAGCCCCGGGCCATGTCGGCCGTCCTGGCGGAAGCCCGCTCCGGGGGAGGGGAACGCCGGCTCGCCCTCCCCTCAGGGAGCCTCCCCGCGGGCGGGCGGGCTTGGCCTCCCCTCGCGGCTCCTGAGTGAGGGGCGACGGCCGGCGGGCCGGCGAGCGGAGGCGCTCCGGCGCGTGAGGCGGCTGCTCCGGCTCCCCCTCGGTGCGCCCGGTCCGCAGACCCCGGAGAAACTGAGACTCAAACTGCTGAAGCGGCGGCTGCAGCTCCCGCCCCTCGGCCAAGATGGGGCTGAAATGGCCGCGCCAGGGATGCTGGGAGGAGCAGCAGCGCCGCTGCCGCCGCCGCTGCCGACTAAAATGCCGCCGCTGCCGCAGCCGCCGCCAGCGCCGCAGCCGCCGCCGTTCCGTGACGCACCGGCGTCGTGACGTCACCGCCCCGCCCCCTCTGGTTTCCTGCGGAGTTTCGCGTGGAGGCTGGCGGGGGGAGGCGGTGGGCGGGGCTAGAGGTTAAAAAGGGGGGCGGTTTTTTAATTTAAAAATTTTTAAATTTAAATTTTGCTCTGTGGGTGTTTAAGAGGTGAAGAGCTAAAGACGCAAAGCCCCAGCCTAGGGCAGCTTACGACCACGCCAGTCGGGTGTTTTTCTGCGGTTTGTTCCGAGACACTGGAAGGCTGGAGGTCATGTGCTGTGTCTAATGTTTAGCAAAATCTTAGCGAAACAAGGGCGGTAGGCATGGGGGTTGGGGGGTTTAGATACGAGAAAGAGGGAGACGGCTGGAAGAGCTGAATCACTTAAAAAGTCTTTCCTGAAAAGAAAGGTTGACCGCTGTAGTCAGAGGAGTGAAATGTTGAGAGAAACAGGGATGATTAACCACGAACAGCAAGCCAGATTGAGTCAGAAAAATGATCTCTCAGCCTGAAATTCTGTCTCCAACAATGGCATCAGGAGATGGTTACTTGCCCAGGGTGAGGTCAGTTTAAAAAAAGATTAGAGGTTACCAGTTTAAACTCCTGAGACTGTTTTTACTTTCAGCACGAAATCAGCTTATGAGCTCCATAAATGTAGAACCTACTGCGTTAAATAGTTATATTTCTTTCTTTGTTTATTGTGAAACTCTTGGTCGGAGCCAGAGTTATATGGCTTGGATTGGGCCACGAACAACCAGAACAAGTCAGAAAGCACCCTTTCTTGTCCCACTACAGAGAGCTGCTGTGAAAGTACTGGCGAATTTATCATCTGTTGGCTACTTGCTGACAAAAGAAAATGATCAGGCCATTCTTTTAAACAGTTAAAAAAAATGGGGAAGGCAGCTCTTGAATTTTGACGTGCTAATACATCATTTAGGTAGAATCTAGGAAGTCTTACTGGAAGTCACAATTTCATATCTATTCCAGCCTTAGCAGTCGCATCATGGTGACTGACAAATCAGTTAATCGTTATTCTCGGTTCTCTAATCTTTGAAGACTAGAAATACTTTTTATCCTAAAGGATGTTTTGAGAATTAAAATTTACAGAGAATTTTTTCAGTACTTAGTTGTAAATAATACACAGAGCTGTGTCTTTTAACCTTAGTAGAAACCGCGTCCTCCAAACCCAAGTGACTGAGGTCAGGATGTGAAATAAGACCGCATAATAATACCCCTGTTTCTTAAGGGGATGGGAGAGAGTAAAGGAACAAAGTGTAACATTATGCTGCTATTGTGGCAGAGAAAGCTAACGGAATGTTTCATTTCTAAGTCTGTCATTTCAGTAATTGTTAGAGACAGTTTTCCATCAATAAGTTAGATCAACTGGTTAAATCCAATAAGAATTTAGGAAAGCTTAATTTAATTTTGGATTGATTTACCAGATTGTTGAAAGTCGTGATCAGTGGGTGATGGTGAGTGTGCGGCTTTTGGAAAAATGACTATTGTATGCCTGCTTGTCCCATTACATTATCTTATTACGTAACCTTCTTGATTACTTGTTATGATACTCTTAAATCACACACTTAAAGGAGAAATCTTAATCTGTAATACAATTTCTGGTTAAAGAACCTTTAGAGGATTTATTGTAAAATGAAAGTGATGATAAAGATAATTTAGAAGAGATCAAGAAGTGGCCTATGTTTCTGGTAAGGATGGAGTTAAAGATATTAAAAGACGTCTTAGCCAAAAATAAGATTTATAAAGTTAAAATGTTTTGTTTACATGTTTAAGGATTTATGCATGTTTAAACTAATAAAATAGTTCTCGAAGTAAATTTTCCAAAAGTTTAAAGGCCCTAGCTTCTTTTATACATTTACTCTTTAAAAATGCAGAGGATTTATCACATAAAACTGCTATGAAGAAGTGATAAGAATTCTGGTTGTTGCAAATAGGTTTGACATCATTTAACAGAGGATAAAAAATCAGGTAACTATCATCAAACTACGAAAAGCTATGTAATTCATGGTTGGTCCACAAAGGATTAAAACCTTTCTCATAACTAATTAAAATGATAAAAAGCAGGATATTCATGCAAATACGCATGCTCCATGCATGGAGACTTGAGAATAATGTGGTAGCCTAACTCACTGGAGCTGGGGAGATTCCTGGAGTCCCAAACCTTGACACTCACATCTTAATGTAGCTATCCTGGTTCCATGTCTGCACCCAGAAACCATGGTGGAAACTGTGGGAATCTTTGATTCCTGTCCCCAGAACCCCCAATTTGGCTATCCTACAGCCGGTACTTCCCTCAAAGACTTAATTTGAAGCAACGTATAGGAAGTACATTTAGGAAGAACAATGCAAAGGGAAAAATGGCTTAGAAACTAAGGACTGTTTTCACTGATGAAAAAAAAACTCAAAACCCAACTACTGCAGCAAGATCTTTTCATCATTTGAGAGCATCATACCCCCAAATTCTACTAGGTTATTATCCAACCTTGTTAGTACCACATGGTAAATTATTTCACACTCACAAGATCCTGGAGTGTAAACTGCAGATACTCAAGAAAACCTGACTTTTTGTTTTTCATTGAGTGCATATTATATTTAAAATAGTAATGGTATATTAATCTAAACACTCTAGGTTAGAGAAAAGAAAATCATACTTTCAGTAAAAACTAAACAACTCCCCAGGCTAAGAGAAGTAACCCTTTAGAATGAATACTCTCAGTCAGTGACATTTATTGAGCACTCCCTGTGTGCATTAGGAATTGGACAGCCTGGATCCCAGCCAACAAGTTTTTCCGGGATTTAGAAATAGCTTATGTTTACTTTCTATGTTTTTATCACCAAATTGTTAGAAAATACAAAATGGAGGACTAGTTTTCAGGTTCCAAAAAGCTTTTGCTGGAAAGAAATATTAATTGTTTAAACAAGTAGTACTTGCTTCATTGCTATGATTTTCCTGGTCTTCCATTTCTGGAACAATATCTTATTAATAACCTCTTGCAGTGAGGCCATTGTGTAATATTATCCAAAAAGGAAAAAAATGCAATGAAAGAGGACTAAGGCTAATGAAATTCCATGAATACTTTTATAAAGGAAAACATAATCTGATTGAGATGCACAAACTTTACTTGAGAATGAAGCGTGTAAAACTTTCATGTTTAAGAAAAGTTTTATTAGATACTCTTGTAGAGTTTGATATACTGTGAAACAATGACTTTTTTTTAATAGTGAAGATTTCCTTGAGTCCCAAAGACCTTTGAAGTTTGGGCAAAACATGGCAATTTGGTAGAAGAAAAAGGTGCATTTTGAACTAATAATAAATATCCTAGTAAAGCCTATTTTCTTTTCTTATGAAACAATTTAGAATATAAAATGTTAGTTCTGTGGTTCTGAAATCTGGCTTAAAGGCTGTAATATAAGGCAACTTCAATAGAAAATCTGCTAATGCCTGTATTCCTTTTCTTTTTTTCTTACATTATATGTGACCACTTGGGATAAAATTGAAGAAATCTACATTGCCTAATTGGAGAAAACTTGAGATCAAGAATAAGCTTCAGGGGCTGGCTCTGTAGCCAAGTGGTTAAGTTCGCACACTTGGCTTTGGCGGCCCAGGGTTTCACTTGTTGAGATCCTGGGCCCGGACATGGCACCGCTCGTCCGGCCATGCTGAGGCGGTGTCCCACATACCATAACTAGAAGGACCCACAACTAAAAATATATAACTATGTACTGGGGGAATTTGGGGAAAAGAAAAAAAAAAAAGGGAAGATTGGCAACAGTTGTTAGCTCAGGTGCCAATCTTTAAAGAAAAAAAAAAGAGTAAGCTCCAGTTTTGCTATAAACTTTTGTGGTTGCTGACAAATCTACTAATCTCTCAGTTTCCCCATTACTGAAAAGAGCAACGTTGTGATGAAGAGATGTTAAACTACCAATCCCGCTGGTCAAGTGGATGGGGAAACATAAGGTGTGGCAGTGTTCTGGCATCTTTGGAAGAAAAGATAGCAACTCAATGTGATACTATTGGCAGTAATATTTTCAGTACCCTTTGTTAATTAAAAAAGAAAGCTCCTAGGTATACATGATTTTAAGAAGAAGCCATAGTCTGTCACAGATGGGTTAGTTATTTATAGACATTTAATGGCATCTCCTTTGGTCAGGTGAATCATCACCATCTATTCTGTGTTTCTTGTATATATGAATTTCGTGTATGCACAGGTGTGATTGTATATCACTTCAAGTGGTAATATACCTGTAATTTTAAGTTGTAACTTTAACACTCACAAAAGAACATTGAAAGACATCGCCAATTTGTAGACTTCTGGGTTGCAGTTCCATATGTATGTTCCTATTATTAGCTTATAAAGTTTTAAAAAATATATTTGAGTGTAGAAACTTATATAAAGTGGCTTTAGACATGAAGGATGTCTAAGTGTTCTTGACTGACAATCTGAATGTCGTTCTAACCTGGCTAATTGTACTACTTTTAATTCATAGGAACCAAAGGTTGAAAGGCACAGATAGAATCTTGACTACTTTGTATTCTCAGTTATGTTTTAATTCCAAAATAACTAGCTCTTTAGTCACTGGAAACAAAACACTTTTAGCATTTAACGTTAGAATACTTGAAATCCTACTTTGACAGCGTTCATACTCATTAAAAGCTCAACCCATGATCCATGTTTGCGCAAGGATTTGGGTGTTACTTAAAATGGCCGTGTAATGAGCTGCTCTCTGCAAATTAATACTCACACCCCTCCCTCATCTGTAACCTGAGGTCTTTGGACAGGAGGGAAGCTAGTAAGAAATAAAGAAATAGGGAGAAAATGCAAAATCAAGGTGAAATGTTAAGCATAGGGTCATTCCAGTTGTGGCCATCAAATCCCTAATGAATAATCATAACGGTATTATTATGACACTCATTTTGTGGCATTTACCTGTTTTTAAACTAAATTGGCCAGATACAAATATATTTTTGTCTTCAAATATTTAGAATATGTTCTCTATCTTCACCCCATTTTTTCTAGATTTTGATACTAATCTTTCTTTTTTGCATATTGCATATGTTTATTCAACAACTGATCTAATTCTAGATTTTTAGTTTATAAATATTTCATTCTTACTTGTTTTATGGATACTCCATCAATACAATGGTTCTACACTCTATGGAATCATAGGGGGGTTGAAAAAAATCAACCCCTCCTACAAAAATGTATATTTTCAAGAAAGATAAATTATGTGGTGATGATTCAGTCACATTATTCAAATGTTCTCCACTGAATTTCTTTAAGCTTAACTACAGTGTTTAAAATAATTTTGCTTATTAATATTTTATTTTGGTGTGAGAAAAAAAATTCTCCTAGCAGGATCAACCTTATGTTTCGAACAAACAGTTCCAAATATCTGCTTGTTCATTCATTCAGCATATATTTAGAAGCCTACTATGTGCTGGCCTCTTTGCTAGACTTGGGGAAAAGAATTGTAAAATAGACAACAAAAGGAAGCCCTTGTTCTAATAGGTCTTATATTTTAATAGGGGAACAGACACTAAAGAAATAAATGTGATAATTTCAAATATTCCTAAGTATTAAGAAGAAAGAAAACAGCAGGGGAAGGTGGGGGTGAGGGCGCCTCAGGCGTCTGGCAGGTGGGCCTGAGGAAAGCGTCTCTGAGCCAAGGGCAAGCTCCTTGTCAGTAGCCAGTAGCTAAGGCGGAGAGACAAGTGCAGACAGTGGCTCTGTGATAGAGACCCGTGTGTGATGGGGAGGGAGCTGGGGCAGGCCTTGTGGACCTTGTCAGGACTTGGATTGGATTTTAAGTGTGATGGAAAGCCACAGGAGGGTTGTAAGCAGAGGATTAAGGTAGTCTGATTTACAGTTAAAAAGAAACCTTTTTGTTTTCTTAGCCTCTCACAGTTTTGAACATAAGTATGTTTATACAGATCTAAAAAAAAAACTTCTCTTAGATAGTCAAAGATAAGTTTCTCTTTATAGGGCTATAACATTGTGTCTTACTAAAATGGTAGAAATATTTAACAATCAACATGACATTTCTTATACAGAGATTTAATAACTTGGTTGCTGTCAACTGATTAAATACCGGTGTGAGAGAGATCTTTTTCTTCATGAAACCCTAACTAACTTAATGGCAGTGATTTTGTTTACTCAAGAAGAACTTGAAATGCCCCACTTAAAAAAATAAAACAACTCTGAACAACAGTGAGAAAGGAGACCGTTTTGTGTCAATGTAATTATTAGATAAGTGTGGTGGAATCACCTGACAAGGAGAGCTAATTTTAGGGAGGCTCAGGGCTGAGCCTCGTTTTTCCAATGAGATAAAAATATTCACAGATAAGTCTAGGGACACTTGGATGCGTTCACTTAGTCATGAAAGATCCACAGAGGAGGGCCCTTGATGGGAGAGGTAGGAGGAGAGGCCATACATTCGATATTGGTGGGTTGCCCTTCTTTTAGAGGTTACTTTTTACTTCCTTGTAAGGTACAGTCCAACAGTGGGTGAGTTTTACTCTATTTCATGGGCTATTTCTTCGTTCACAAGAGAATGCTAAGATAGCACTGTGTAGCGAGGTTACGCTCTGGTGCTCTGGGGGTGACAACTGGCCTGGCTCGTTTTTTTAAGCAGTTCCAGGCTGTGTGTGCGAAGGTTAAACTTGTTCTTACCGTGGTGACTCCAAAGCAGTGCCAGCGTGGCTGAGAGCTTCAGCAGGGACAGATGCACAGGCCATTATCCCTGTCTTTGGAGCACACAAAGTTAGTCTATTTTGCTAGTTGAACATGGAGGAAGAAACACCTACGTATTTTTTTGTACCATAGGCCCCAATGTAAGTGTGAGCGGGCTGGTATAAATTCCAAATGAAAAGGAAAAGGAAGTTTGCTTATCTTATCCAGTACTTTTGAAATATATTACTTATTATTTGATGGAATTTGGTCTTTTCTAAAGTATGATTATACAGCATTAAGATTAAGAAGAGGGTAGCATGCCAAGTTTGTTGTGCAAATTCTTTAAAAGGGATGCATGTGTTCCAGTGTTGCGTTTTTGTTAAATATCATTCTGAAACTCTTCAATTATTTTACAGCTTAGTTATGAAGCTTACGAATATTGATCGTATTACTCGACAAGAGCACCCAGGTATGTGTAGAAAAGTGTTACCCAAACTTCATAGCCCACCTTGTTAATAACCTTTACTTCTAGTCGACTTCTCTTTTCAAAAACCAAAACTGTTTTAAAGATGAACATTTGTCATCCTTTGATGATGTTTTTTAAACGTTACATATGGTGGAATATCAAGTTAAACATTAAACAAAACTGTGCCTCATCTTTGAAAGCAAATTACGTGTATGCATAGGGAACAAATTTTGGGGAAAACGCATCAGAATTTAAGTACTGACTATCTCTGGGTGATGAGACTGTAGGGTTTTTTTGCTTAGTTTTTAAAATATTTTCCAAATTTTCTACAATGGTCACATACGATTTTTATCTGAATGTATTACTTTTATATATAAAAAAATGTACCTACACACACCACCTAAGCCAAGAGTAACTTTGTAAAGATATAACAACAGACGAGACTACATTTTAGTTATTGATAGATGGCAATTGATAATTGCTATCCAAAGATGAATTGCCCCTCAGAAGTAGTGTATATTTGAATGCCATCAAAAGATAATATTAAGAATGATTAACACTTTTTCAGTTGAATCAAATTAATGCAAAAACACTTTAAAGAGTTAACTTATGAAATAAAAAAGGAATTAAGAGGATGTAAGGGAGAGAACATTAAACTATGAGAAGTAGGTTTGAAAGAAAACGGGGTGTCAGGAGACCCTGGTGCAGTCTCTGCAGCATTCTGTCCAGCTGTGGGTCCTTGAACAGGGCGTAACCTCTCTGGGTTTCGTATTCTTTATCTGTAAAGTAAGAGTTTTGGTTCTAAGATTTTATGAATCTAGACTCCCAAAGGACAGATCCAAGTGTGAAGTCTTGATTTTGTGTGCAACACCGAACATATAAATGGGTTCACAAGATGTTTGTGCTGCAGCTTTGAGTACATTCAAATGTGCTAGTTCTTGCCTGATCCCCCAAGGTACCCTCCTGCCTTTGGACCTTTGCACTTACTGTACCTTCTGCTTATTCCCTGAAATGTTTGCTTGTTTAATTCCCTTACCTCCTTCAAGTCTTTGCTCAAATGTCTCCTTTCAGTGAGGCCTGCTCTGACTACACTGTTTAAGACTGCCAGCCTATCCCAGTGCCATCCCTCTTTCCTGCTTTGTTTTTCTCTGTAGCACTTACTGCCTTTTAATATACTATGTTCTTTACTTACCTTCTTTGTTGTCTGTCTTTCCACACTAAAATGGATGGCTCCAAGGAGAGCAAGGGCTTCCATCTGTCTTGTTCTTTCTTGTGTTCCAAAGGTCTATAATAGAACCTGGCACATATTAGAGTCTCAATATTGTATAAATAAATGAATTTCCCATTTTTACAACATCCTACAACATGTTCATTCAGTATTATGAAAGTGAAGCAGTAAACGTGCCTAAAATTGTGGCATGTTGGTACCGTGGGAAATGCCCTGCCCAAAAGGGTACTTTTATAAACGTGCATCTTTAAGAGGAAAAAAAAGAAATCATTTATTAGACAAAGATCTTTTTTAACCTTTCTTTTTTGGGGGGTAGGGGGGGATGATTAGTCCTGAGCTGACATCTGCTGCCAATCCTCCTCTTTTTGCTAAGGAAGACTGGTCCTGAGCTGATATCCGTGCCCATCTTCCTCTGCTTTATATGTGGGACGCCCGCCACAGCATGGCTTGCCATGCAGTGTGTAGGTCTGTGCCCGGGATCTGAACTGGTGAACCCCTGGCCGCTGAAGTGGACCGTGCGAACTTAACCTCTTCGCCTCTGGGCCAGCCCCCAACACTAGCCATTCTTAATCATATTTGATTTAGGGTATGTTAAATATTTTTAGTATTTGGTATAGTATTCTAGTTTAAATAACATTTCCTTTACATAAGAAAATTTAATCAGTAGAGCCACTCCAGGAGTAAAAAGTTCTCATCGTTGAGTTTTTTAAAAGTAGGTCTATAGATATGTCACTATAGTAACAAACTATTGGGAAAAGAAGCTCTATTTTGCATTCATAGTGTCTAAATGCTATGGATTAATGAATACCTAGGCTAAAAAAAATGTCTTTTATAGACTCCTTGGGATTTGTTTTCTTCATCTGTTTGGTTTGGCTGCTCTCATTTACATACTTGTTCTCATTAGGGTTTGAATTTCAGAGCTGGCCTCACTCTGTAATGGGAACAAATGTCTTGCCATGTGATACTAACTTTCCATTACATCCTGAAGCATTTGCAGTCCCAGAGGCAAAGGATTTATGGTTGGTGCATGAGAGATGGAACCACCATGTAAAAGAGGCCAAATTTGAAAACATATTTTTTCTTGGTGCCAATATAGTTTCAAGATAATGAGAACTCAGAATAATCAGCTAATGACCAAAAATGAATCATTATTAAAACACTTTTTTTTGGCATAAAATAACTATTGTTTCTAGTTGGTTGATAATTTTCATAGTAACCATGGCATTTGGCGCATTCTAAACACCTTTCATCAGAAGCCCTCAGACCCCTTTGCAGCAGCTCATTATACTCTGAAAGAGTTCTGAGAATAATACACAAGTTTTGCTGATATTCTGTAGCAGTGTAGAGAGCAGTATGCAGGAAGTACATAAAATACACTACAAGATTTCTCAATAATTCTCCAGCCAAGTAGGAAACTGAGTAGATGCAGCACGAGAAATTCAGAAGTACTGAAAGTCAGTCCCCAAGTTAGTTTGGTCAGAATTTCAAACTTGTTTTATTCTTTAAAAAAAAAAAAAGAATTGTGGAGTGGAGGCTATTTCAATAGCAGGGCCATTATTAACATCCATAAACATAACATGGCACCATATTTACAAGGAATTCTGTATAATTCCCAACTTTTCCTTATTCCTCACTGTGTGCTATGAGATTTTTTGGTGAAAGTCTTATTTTAGTTTCGACTGGAAAGTCGAGGGAACACAGTATAAAGAATAGCAGTCAATAACTGTAAGACTTCATCACGGATCTGTTCATGTCTCTGGCCATACCTTGCATTCATGTAACACTTTATGGTTGTCAAACCCCCGCCATGCATCCTCTCATTTGACCCTTACAACCCTGTATCTGTGTGCCCTTGGACAAGTCACTCAGCCCATGACTGTAGTTCCCATTTGTTAAGCTGCATTTAATAGATGCCCTCCCCTAAATCTATAGGAATGCTTCAGAATTATAATAGAATAGTCCAATACATTATGAACTCTTTAAATGAAAAGTATTTTTATAAATGTAAGATGTCATTCATCTAATTTGGGAAACTGAAACTTAGAGAGACCAAGTGAGACCAAGAGACTAAGTATTTAACCACGTTGGTCCCAAGAAACACACAGAACCAAAGATGAAAAGGTTTGTATTTTGTAGCTCAGATAAAAATCATGAGATTTTATCACAAAGGAGAAAATATTGCCTCTTAAGCAGATAACAGTAGTCTCTAAAAAATATAAACAAATATTCATTCTGAACCATTAGCTCCCTAATTTTATTTAAATGCATCAAACTAAATACTATTTCGTCCATTACTGATCAACAGTCAGCCTACATACGACAACTGATGACAAAACCGATTTGTTTGAAAAGATACCCAATTTGGGGGCAATTAATCCCGTAATTATTATGAATTACATAAACTGAAAGGAGAACTAGGTAATATTTTTGATAGAAATACTATTTTACAAATATATATAACCAGAATAATATTTCATAAGCAATAGTTAAGGTGGTCATCTGCTATAGCCTTGTCATATAGCTTACATATTAGAATAAAACCTTAAGAACATTGGCTATTTTATGATGTCTCAATTTGAGTGAAATGATATTCTCTAGCTTCCAAATTATTGTTCTTTTTAAAAATACGTTACCCCAATCTATGTGATTGAAAGATTATTTGTGTTTGCTAAACATTGCTAACATCAGAAAATGACCATTTTAGATTATTTTATTAAGAAATTTTTATAATGGGGAATTCAAAATATGTGTAAAAGTGGAGAGAACTGTATAGTGAATGGCAATACCTACATATTCAGCTGGGTTCCTAGAAAATGTAGAGAAAGTGAGTAGCAGAGAGATGGAAAAGAACGAGTGAGTAGCATGTGCAGTGTGTGGACACTTGAATGTGTCTCCCTTTAATCTCTACGACAATTCTATGGGACGAGCATTATCATCTCCAGTGTAGAGATGAAGAAACTGAGCCTCAGAGACACTGAGGACTTCCTCAAGAGTTTAGATTCAGAGCCACATTTGAATTGGATCTGATGCTCCCTGGGGCCATGTTCTCTCTTTTTCTCCATTTTATAACTTATGAACCACCAGATTAGGTGTCCTCAAACTTGTGAAGAGGAACTACTTTCTGGGTTTTGGTTTTGTTTTGAGATCTCATGATGGTGAAAGGAGAGGCCAAGAGAAAGGGGTTGAACCTGTTATGGATGAATTTGAGGAGCAGGGCTGCTGACAGTGAGATTCTTGAGTGGGGGAGGAAGTGGGCAGGAAGTGGGCACTTACATGCCCTGAGAAAGAAGGAGGAGGGGGCGGGTACAGGCTTTGGGTGCACCACTTACTTAGGCTGGGGCGTCGGGAACCGCTGCTGTGGTTGGAGAAGCCTCTCTGGAGGACTTTCTGTTTGCTGATATTAAGGAGTGGAGCTTTTATAACACAAGATGAAGAATTTCATTTTTCTATTGTTAAAAAAAAAAAAACAACTGGAGGTGTTGGTCTGTCATTCTATTTCAATTAAAATAAAGATGCATCTTTAGCTGGAATGTATGTGTAACTGTCTTGGAATTGGACTCTCCAGGGTCAGGCTCTCTCCACACAGCAGACCAGCAAATTCCCGGGATAGCAGGCAATGTTTTCAGCAGGCTGCTGCTGCTTCCTGTTCCAGGGAAGAGGAGACTTTGGTTCTAGTCCCAGCTCCGCAACTGGCAAGTCATCTCACTTCTCTGTGCCTCTGTTTTTCCTCCTCCGAAAAATAAGGAGGCTGGACGGGACAATTCCTTGAGCCCCTCCCAGCCCTTCCGCTCTGTGGTTCCATGAGAAGAACAGAAATCACAGCTTATCCCTTAGGGCCTCTGGAGGAATAAAGCCAAAACATTTACCTTCCATGGCAAAACTCTGTCTACTGTACAAATTTTCAAATATTTAAAGTCCATTAGTCCTGTAGATTTGCTGGGAAGCAGGTCAGCTGACATTTCCATACACTTATTTGGATGTGTTTTAGCATCGTTAGAAAATTTTTCTCTAGTCTGAAACTTCGCTGGGAGCTGATTCAATTTTTTTTTACGTCTCAGTTTAAAATTTAAAGCAATTGACTTGTTTCGGGCGTCCTATTTAGGGTGTTTTTAAAATCTTAAATAATTTTGTCAAACACTCTCAAAATTACACTCCACCCTCAGAAATTATTTTAGGGACAATTGCTTGCTATATGAAATGGAATAGATAAAAATTTAAATGTTATAATATTTCAGTTATTCAAATGTATACACCTTAATGATGAATATGTGCTAAATGGAAACATTTTACTATAATAATACTTTATGTGTTTCTACTGCATGAGTTTCATTAGTTCACGAATGGGTGGATAATCTTGGTAAGAAAACAAAAAGACTTTCCATTGTTTGAAAATATAGATTCATCTTCTTTTGGAGTTGTCGCTTGCTCAGCACACATGTGTTGAGTTCCTGCTAACTTGACCAGCACTGCCTGCTTGCTAAGGTTACAAAGGTGAGTAAGATATGCTCCTTGCCCCTGGAAAGCCAAAGCTAGTAGATGCTTGTAGTTTGTCTGGAAAAAAGAGAGCTTGTAAAGTGTTCTACTATATTACCTCGTTTGAACCAAAGAGGTGGTATTATTATCTTCTTTATTTTACTCATGAGGAAACTGAGTCTCATAGAGGTTAAGTTACTGGAATGGTCAACTTGCTACTTGCTCAGAGTCTGTTGTCCTATTTAACAAAGGCTGGGACCATGTCTGTCCTCCTCATTCTGTTGCCTCAGTGCCTAGAACAGTACCTGGACATAAAAGGTGCACAAGACACATTTGATGGATTAATAAATATTGGATTATTAGTACAGCCAACACATTGGATCACAGATAAGCTTCAGGACTATTAGTCTTCTCACTCTTCAAGCAAGTGCTCTTTCACTATGCCCTGCTGCCTCTTCAATTATGTCTGTTTAGTATTAATAGAATCGATGCTTGAGGTCTGGAAAAAGAATTATGTGCTACCTAATTTTTTAAATAAGAGAAGAGATTGCCTTTGAAAAGTAGAAGCTGAACACCCTTGCAAAAACAACAGGATAAATCCCCTTGAACTCGGACCTTGAAACGCAACTATCAAACTATTCTTTTCTTTATGAAGAAACAATTATGTCATATGTTTCAAGCTTTCCCATTGTTTAATGATTTGAAGTCATTTCGAGTTAGCTATTAGAAGACATGGCAGCGAGTTTGAGGGTCTAGTGGTACTTTGTGTGCTTTGTTAATAATTTGGATGCTATTTATGAAGCTTAGTTTATGGCTGATGCTAAGATACAGCATTATTAGCACTTAAGGGTATAAGAATGGAATTCAAAATGACCTTGGCAAAACTGAGAGCTGTTAATCCTAAGTAGGAACACATGTAGGCAGGAGAGACAAATGTACGATAACTGCAAGATGCAACTGTGGCAGAAAGGGATTCAGAATCCAAATGCAGGAATCACAAAGTACTTCTTGTATTGCGTTCTCCAGACTGTTACTGGATTACTCTGGTCAGCCTTGGGCCTACCTGTTTAAGAGATTTGTAACAAATTGTGTGAGAGGCAGAGGATATAGAAAATAGGTGAAGGTTGGAAATTTGGGAATGGGAAAACATAGAAAGCAAGTTGAGCTTCAGTCATGTAAGGTCTCAAAAGTTTCTACCTCTCATACACCCTTTCCCAGAAGCTACTCCAGGATGTGCCCCACCAAAATGAAGGAATGAAGCAAGAGAAAGGAAGACAATGGATACAGGATACAGGCAAAGGGAGCTCCCAGGAGAAAAGGAAGGGAGAGCCTGGGTGGTGAGTGTGCACCTGGTGTCCAGGACCATCTGTCTGCTCCACACATGTCACAAGATGTGAGGAAAGACTTCTGTAAGAAGATGAAAATGAAAGAATTCCTGATATGTTTGAGCATTTTAAGAAAAAGGTTAAACAAATTGTTGGAGAGTTTGGGGTTAAAGTAATAATAGTATGCAGACTATTTGACAAAACAAAACCAACTCCAAGGAAACAAAAGTTTGAGCCAAAAAGAAAAGAATTCCAGTCTACATATGATAGAACTTAGCTCTTATAACCTTTCTACATCTACTATAAAATAGACACCAAGTATTAATCCAAACAGACATGACCTAATGGTATTGAGTGGACCAAGAGATGGGAAGGGGGATTGCGTGATGGGCAGGGAGCAGGTGGGGAAAGAAAGCTATGCTCTTACGTGAGAAGTCATGGAAAATGCCTACACCTGAAAAATCAGATTAGCAATATAAACAAATATAGCACACTTAAAGTTGTGAAAGTAAACACCAAAAACGTCAATCAACCAACTCATGGAACAAGTGAAATAAAATAGCCAGAAATGCTGAATATGGCTGTTTGAAGTGGGGAGAAAGATGCTGGGGGGAGGCATGAGGGACTGTTATTTTCACGAAAAAAAATATAAGCTGGATCCTATAAACTATGTGCATGTATAACTTTGGTTAAAATAAACAAAACAGTTTAACTACACAAAAATACAGTTAAGAGGTGATCTAATAATATCCAAATGTGGGGAAATTTGTCTTTTCTCAGGGTGATAATTCACTGTTTGTTGCATTTATGAAGTCGAGTTTGGGTTAATGTTGTGTTCTGGTAAGGGTTGTTCCATCCGAGTTTCTAAACAGATGAGGCGTTTCCTTTCCTGAGCTGTGTGGGACTAATGATGCACACTCAGCCGTCTGGCATGGCTTACGTGCAGTTATGGAGAAAGGCTCTGGCTCAGCTTCTGGGTTCCTTGGAACTCTGGGGGCCTCTGGCGGAGGTGTGGGCTGAAGGACAGAGCACTAGCTTTGTAGACCGATAGACCTAAGGCCAAAGTCCAGCTCAATAGTATGTTCTTCATGTGACCACAGAAAAGTTGCCTAGCCTCTCTGAACCATAATTTCCTGATCTGTAAAATGGGGCTATATGATACCCACCTCATAGCAGTGCTGAGTGATTCAATGAAATTATGCTTATAAAGCACTTGGCAGATGTTCAAAAAATATCAGTTCCCTCCCTTCTGAGGTAGGAACCTCGTCACAGGTTCACAACAGTAATCATTTGAGTCATATTATGATGGTGCTTATTCAACTCTAATAGAATCAGGTGCAGAATTAAAATACGTATTTAAATATATGCTTGTTTTACCTTTTACATGATGCAAAACAACCAGTTCTCCCATCCTAGATGGATATGCTTTAAAAGATAATTGATTTGCTCAAATTAGATAGCTGTTTTGATGTCTTGTAGACACAACTTGAGTGTTCATGTGTTACGTGTGGCCTGGTACCGTGAGAAGACTTCAGAAATGCTACGGCCTGTACGTGATGGAATAGTCAAAACATGCCCATCCAACCAGTCTCCCGACTTGCTATGTAACCCCTTGAGACCCTGTGAATCATAGTTTATAAACAACTATTCATAGATACAGGTATTTCCCCTAGGGTATTATTTATGCAAGGCTGCTGGGAGCAACTTTTTTTGCCTTGCTAAGTATTAACGCCAGCACCTGGCCCACAAAGGCAGTGCTGTGGAGGAGGCAGAAGGATCCACTTTGGAAGAGGGGCTGAAGAGGCCCCTTAGCGAGCGGCGCCAGGAACAGTCAGCCTTTGAAGAAAAGTCTTCCTAAGGAACAAGGACCAGGTGGCCCTGTGGTCCTCCGTGGTTCATGAAGAGCAAGCTGCCACTTACTCAGCTTTGGGATTCTGCCCAAAATGGATTTCCACATGAAAGATTAAAAACAAACGAAAACAAAAACAAAAATGACAAATTGATCTCTGTGTTGCTGCCTTTCCAGTCTGCTCAGATGTGAACCCTTCAGTGCCCATCCCAGGAGTGCCTATTTTCACATTGGAATTCTTTCACTCAATAAAAATATTTCCAAAATCTTACATATTTAAAAAAATGCAGCCGGTAACCATTTTTGTTTTTTGAACTGGCTCACAGTAAAATAGATTTCTCACCTTTGATCTAGGTGAAAGAGCATTGAGTTCCTACTTGTATTATTCCATTTTCTCTATCTCAAACAGGAACAAAAATCCTTCCATTCACTCATCAGTTGAATTCATCAGTTCCTTGACTTGAGCAGCTGCTGGACACTGGGGATCCCAGATGACTGTGACAGAACAGCTGGCCCGGAGGAGCTCATTTTCTAATTAGGGATGATGGTGGAGGGAGAGGAACCTAAATTTTGAAATAGACAATGATGATAGCATGACAATAAAATTACGTATAAAGGTTAAGATAGCACAATCGCTAGTAAAGACAACCCTGGGCTTTCCAGAAAGGCTTCCACAGACAAGGTGAAGTTTTGGTTTGGTTTTGAAGGCCTGGTGAGGGTTTGCCAGTCAGGCAAAGGGGACACGGATGATATTCGTGAAGGATAGCAAAGGAATGGTATATGGTAAAGGAATAGAGTTTAGAACCAAACACTATGTTTGGGGAATGGCATGAGGCTCTGTGTGGCTCGGGTAAGGAGTAACTATGGGAAGGTGGGAGGTGAGAAACAAGAGGTGGAACATCTCTGAGATAGGTAACAGGAGTGACAGGCTCCAGGTGGCATTGTCAAAAGAACACTGCCGACAGTGAGATGGGCCTGAGTGAGGTGAGGCACTAGTCAGGAACGGTCCAGCTGAGAGAGATGGAGTTCCTGAACAATGGCAATAAGCATGTCGAGGAGGAGGTGATAAGTAATCAGAAGTCATTTAAAAAGGTGAAGTACTATTTACTATCGTAAAAAGATATTAATTATTGCTATTATTATCTGTCCTAACTTGGAATCTTAGCCCCAGCGTAGCAAATATTTCCTGTGGCCAATCTAACACACAATGCCATCTACAGTAGGTGTGTGCAACCATCAACAGTTCTCTCCTGACTTCCCCGAATTTATTATGAAGCCTATTTGTGGAAAAAGCTTGTTTTAGCTTCTTTAAACATCGTAAAATAAACTTGATTGCCCCTTTGATTTTCTTTAAGTATCCTGCAGAAGACCATTAACTTTGTTTCCAGCATGAAAGATAATGTCAATACAACTTTTGTGGAATTGGTAAAGTGGTGAAATTTAAGGATGTGGCTGAAGATGCCTGTGATTTCATAGCCTTTTCACTTAGATGAGTGAATTGATGGCTTTGCCACAGCATGCCAGGCTTATGATCAAATGGACTCCTGCTCACGTTTCTTTTAACCTTCATTCGAAGGACTTGAGTGGCACTCGTAATTAGATATGTAAACATTTGTAAATATACCTTGGATTTGTCAATGATTCAATTCAACATTTTGACCAAATACCTATGCTAAATCCATAATGAAACAGCTGAGGAAATAATTTCTGGAAGAGTTTTTTCTGTTCCTCAGTGTTCCTCAGGCAGGAAGCCACAGGAAATAATGTATTGTGGTGCATATTTCCCTGCAGGATTCGGTGTGTCATTCACTGTGCAGAATTTTACTTTCCTGCTGCCTGTAGTTCACATTTTTGTACTTGCTTTTCCCTCCAGGATAATTTGATGAAGTCAGTTCCTCAGAGATAGAAAACGTCTTTTTATTTTTTTAAGGCCAGCTTCCCTCACCTCGCCCCCATTGAGAGATAAACATGGTTAAACAGGAAAGATTTAAGTAGTTGGAATTAATTATTTTGACATATGAAATAACCATGATTGCAATATGAAATAGTCATTAGATAATTTTACTAATCTAATAAGATAAGTGTTTTTGGTTAAATGAAAATAGGGTCTGTCAAAATTGGAGCAGTTTAAAAGGTAGTAAATTAGAACCTGGAATATGGAAATGAAACCACCCTTTTCTGGGAGAACCTCACTGTTATTTTATTAGGTATGGTTTTTACTTTAAAGTTTCTCTGCATTTCTTTACTTCTCACTTCCCTGCACCCTTTCTTTACTGGAGAGTGAAACATTTTCCCCACTCTTAAATGGGAAAGTGGTAGAACAGAATGTTTTTGTCAGAACTAATATTCTTGTGTCAAGCAGCTTTTTTTTTCAACACCTATACTGGAGGTTTTTCAACCCTGTGTGTGCATTGGAATCACCTGGAATGCTTAAAAAAATTGCTGAGGCACTGGACTCCAGCCCCAGAATTACTGATTTGGTTGGAATGGGGTGGGGCCTGGCGTTTCTTAAAGGCTCCCAGGCCGACTGTAACATCCGGCAGAGTTGAGACCACGGGCCTCTGCTGGCCTTTGTGCAGGCACCCCAGGCTCATTTCCAACCTGCCCGACTTGACTTCCCTGTCAGCCACTTGACAGTCAAGTGCGGCGGGCTCAAAGGGAGGGGCCCAAGACGATTTACTCAGGTGCAGGAAAAATATGAGAACGTCTACCTCTATTTTTTCATCTCATCCTCTAACGATACCTGTTTTTAAAATTTTTTATGGGGCACATACTATATTAGTACAATAGACTTTTTTTTTGGTAGATGGGGCTGCACTATCAAAACGTTCACTGCCTTTGAGAGAGGCGCAACACAAAACATCCTTTTTCGCATTACTACATCTCTCAGTTCTTTGGTGTCACCAAGAGCAGCTCGAATGTTGGCTTTGTGTCTCCTGATTGCTACAGAGTCTTCTAGAGCTATGGATGGAGTCTTGCACAATCTTTGTCCTCCCCTCCACAGCTGTATTATATGAAAAACCAAATAACACAGTCTCTCGTGCTGGATCTTTGCCCTTCCCAGAGTTCCTGATACAGCTTCATCTCCTGGCCCCTTCTTATGGTAAAATTTTCTCTCGCCCTTCTAAACTCTTCTAAGATGCACAAGCACTTTTGGGTATAACAAACAGAAGGAGAGACTTTAATATAAAAATGCCTTCAAAATATCTCCTGATATTAAGAAATTGTTTTTAAGGTATAATAATGATACTGTGGTTATTTAAAGGGAATCAGTGCTCCCCCCCCCCCCCCCCCCAAATCCCCCTCTGACATCAGACACTCAAACCAAGTCACTGGCTCCAGGACATTTTCACCTAGTTTTGCCAGGCAGCCCGGCCCCAGCGCACTCCTCCTCTGCTGTGGTTCTGTTCTCGGGGGCTGGGGTGCCAGCAAGGCCAAAACTGCAGCTTCCCTCACTTCTTTTGTGGGCTGGTTCTTGCTCTCTGTGCTCTCGCCTGAAGTGTCCTATGTGCTCTGCGTCTCCCAGCCTCCTGTCACCACCCTGCATAAGGGGGTTTCAGGTATTTGCAGATGACCTTTCTGTTCCCTCTGCTAGGCCCAGTGGAAACCACCCCTCTTCCGTGTCCCCGTGAAATGGAAAGTCTAGATGCAGGCTTCAGAGTTTCTGTTGGGGAAGTTTCTAGGATGCCTATTGATTTTCGAGTTTTTGTACTCAGGAAAATTATGAGTTGCTCCAAAATTCCCTAATGTATCTTCGTAATTCTAATTAATCCCTGATATTTGGAGAATGTCAGGGTTTTCAGATAACTTGGATATATGCCATCTCATTTGTGTAATCATTTATTGTTCTCTTGTACTGCACACGGCACCTGCTTGGCACTTCCTGTAACTGTAGGTGAGAGGGGCCGCTCTCAGCCGTGTGGACGCAGGCTCCATTCCACTGTCCAGATCTTGTTGTTTTCCTGACAGCTTTCTGGTCCCCCATCCCCAGCGTGGCTCTTAGGTGTTGCGTCACCACTTCCCTTTCCCCTACTGCTCTGTGACCTACCACGTGAAGAGTGTTGGTCAGTGTGAACGAGCTAGCATCCCAGGGTTGGCAGCTGCTTAGTTCTGACCTATAGCTGGGTCTGGGCTGGGGACTGAGAGGGAGGGGCGGGAGCTGGAAAGGGGAGAAGAAACCCATAATTGTTCCCTTTCTCTTCTCTCCTTGCACTTTCAGTTTTAGAGAGACTAGAGGCAAGTCTTCTGCTGGCAGGGGGGCCTCCACTTAAGCTTGGGTTCCAAGGACACTAGGAGAACTGAGCTTAGGGCCTCCCAGCCCTGCTTGCACCCTCAGGACTGAGACCAAATAGGGGAAGGGTGGAAAGGAGGAGGCACCAGCTCGGTTCGGGGCAGTCCTGGGAAGAGGGGGAAGAAACGGGGAGAGAGGTGGGAGAGACAGTGAAGAGCGAGAAGAGGAGAAGGGAGAGGAGGAGGACATATTTTCATCTGTTTCTCACGTTAGAAAAAGCTGGGTTATCCTGTGCCTTATTTCATTAAAATGCATTTCATAGACTTCTGATGAGATATTTAAAATGTCCAAATGGTAGGTGAGCTATTGATATGCTAGGATTTTGTGGGCAAAATGAGGCAATTTTTCAGATATTTCCTAAAGCAAGAAGTTCCTGACATTGAGGAGACAGCGATTTGTTGACCGTCTTTATCCAAATTTGCTTCCCAGATCCTCAATAATATATTTCATATAATATATATTTCATATCAGGTTGGTGTTTTGACTCAGTTTTCCAGGTCATTGAAGGTAATTGCTTAAAACTCTTTCTCGTGCCTAGACAGACAAGACCTATATGTTGATAAGTTTGGTTTGTTCTTTTTATATAAATCCTGGCAGGAGTATATAGATAACATTTATCTTTTTTATTGCAGTGATGATATGTTCACTTAAGGAAATCCAGGAAATACGGAAAAAATGCAAAAGAGAAAACTAAAAGGCCCAAACCTTAGGGAGAATTACTATTAATATTTGGTGTGTATCCATCATTCCAGACAGACTGCTGTACATACATCCTTTTCTCCCCAGTGGGGATCGTGATGTTCATTATACTCAGTATCCTTCTTTTCATTAGCACCATACCGTAGACCTGGTCCTATGTATACAACAGGATTTTTTAGAGTATATAACATTCAGAAAATGCACAAATTGTAAGTTTGCAGCTTGATGAATGTCACAAAGTGAACACACCATGGTAACCAATAGAACACAAGAGGCACCTCAGAATTGGAGCATCCCAGCATCCCAAAACCCTCCTTTAGCCCCTTCCAGACACTGTGCTCCATCCCAAGTGTTACCACTATCTTGACTTCTGAAGCAGACTTTTTCTCCCTGGTTTTGAATTTATGTAAATAGTATATTTATAAAATAAATAGCATATTCATAAAATATTTATAAAAACTATAGCATGTAGTTGTTGGGTTTGGTCTAGTTTCTCTTATCAGTGAGTTGTGAGATTCATTCAGTTTTTGTGTAAGGCTGTGGTTTGCTCATTCACGCTGTTGTGTAGTATTCCATTGTATGCGTACACTGCAACTTATTTAGCCATTCTATTCTGGATGGACATTTGTGTTGTTTGCCCCTCCTGAGCTATTATGAATGTGCTGCTATGAATATCTTTGCACGTACCTTCTGGTGGACATATGCACTCCTCTCCTCGAGACTGGACTGCTGCCTTACACGATAGGCATATGTTTAGCTTTACTAGATAGTGCCAGACGATTTTCCAAAGTGGCTATAGCAATCTCACACTCTCGTCAGTAATGTATAAGAGTCCCACTTGTGTCACATTCTTGCCAACACTTGGTATTTTCAATTTAAAAAGGTCAGGCTATTAAAGGTAATTGCTTGAAATTCGTCTTTTTGCTAGACAGATAAGGCCCATATGTTTATTCTTTTTGTATAAATTCTACAGGAGTATATAGATCATATTTATCATTTTAATTAAAATGGTAATATGTTCACTTACAGAAATCCAGAAAAATTTTGGTCATTTGGGTGGGAGGGAAGTGGTATCTCATTGTGATTTTAATTTCCATTTCGTATGTTTCACAGACGGTGGATGTCCTCCTTTGTGAAATGCCTGTTCAAGGCTTCTGCCTATTTTCCTCTTCAGTTGTCTGCTTTTCATGCTGGGGGTGGTTGGAAGAGGAGGAGTAGCATAGGAGTTCTTTGTGTCATTGGATGAGTTCTCCGTCAGGTAAGTGCTACAAATATCTTCTCCCACTCTGTGGCTGCATTTTCACTCTTGGTGGTGACTTTTCATAGAATAGGAGTTCTTCACTTTAATATAGTCTAGTTTATCAATATTTTTCTTTCATGGTTAGTGCTCTCTGTGTCCTGTTTGAGAAATCTTGGCCTATTTTGAGGTCTTGAGGATATTCTGCTATGTTTTCTTCTAAAAGTATTATTCTACCTTTCACATTTAGATCTAAAATACATCTAAAGTTGATTTTTATGTACGCTTTGAGGTAGAGGATCAAGATTTTTTTTCATATATGTATCTAGTTGACCCAGTGTCATTTATTGAAAAGACCATTCTCTCTTCACATGATGTGAGTTTTACATGGGTCCATGATATTCCATCACATAGATGTGCCATTACCAGTTGAGAGAGCATTTTCTTAGATATTCTGCCTTGATATTTGGCCTGAGTGACTTTCAAAAAAAAAAATTACTGAAGTGAGTGCTAAAGTGCTTTATTCTATGAAGAATAAATATCGAGATGCTGAAAACAGCCAAGCATTTGTTAACATACGATAAAAATTATTCATTATAATTCTGAATTGCCTATTACAAGCCAAATAAAAGGTAGACTTTAAAAGGTTAATTTTGACTGGAGGCTTGTATAAATTCATATTTTGGGGGGCTTAGGTTAATTCTAGTTAACAATGACATTGATCTTATTTTATTAGATGTACATTAATCAGCTGAATAATTAAGCTACTCTTTATGTTTTGAAGACCAGTTTTGGGAGTGTAACAAAATTATGTGCTATTTACCAGAGGAAACTTGGTTTGAGAATAAATCACACTATTAACATTTATTGTTATCACACTGCTAGTATTCATTCCCTCAAAGACTTATTTTGAGGTCACTTTATTTTAAAGGTATTAGAAAAATGGAAATTTATGAAGATTTATTTGACAAAGATGGCCATGATAAAAACTTAGCTTAGGAAGTGGGTTCTGCATATTCTGATAGTATACATGTGAACTTCATGACTGAAATTTAACATTTTCACATGGTTAGAACAACCATTTTGCACGGTTAGATTTGTTAGGATAAATCTAATAAAAAAACATCAAGTCAGTTTCCCAAATGGACTTTAAATATAACATAGCCCGGTATTGGAGGAACTTGCTGTTGGTCTTATTTTTAGCTACTGGGAGAGTGTCAGTGGTGTTAATTAGCCTTTGACATGGATTTTCCCCTCTATTAATTACCTGTATTATTATGAAGTCTAATGTATTTGATTTAAAAAAATTAATCTTAAAATGCTTAGTAGTTCTGCCATTTAGAATGGTTGTAATCAAAATAAGCAAGATGGCTTGGTGATGAGTAAACTTAACTTTTTTGCACTTGATTGAGCAGAAATTATTAATTTTAATTTAAAATGTCTAACTAATCCACAGTGCATAAGAAAGCATTCAAATTGAATTTTAACCTTTAGAACAGACTTCTTATTTTTCATAGAACTTATATTAGTATGTATTTGCACATATTCATCCTTTTGTGTATTAACTGTTTTTAACTCTGTTGAAATTATTTTAAGGTGAATAAATGTGAAATTAGATTTATTGAGACTCTTGCACCCTTTACTTTCACATGTCCAAACCAAACTATTGCGTCTTTTCAAAAATCATATCCCCTTATTTATTTAACGAAATGTAACTGGAAGCCAGAGTTCATGCCAGCAAGGCTTGTGGGTGATAGAGAGTGATATAGACCAGAGCTTCCCACAGTATTTCATAAAATACTGGTTCACAGGATTTAAGCAGTGCTATAGTCAAACAAAACAGATGACATACAGTGGTCAAATTAATTTGGAAAATAAACGTTAATCAGGTTTTCCAAATTCTGAGCTATTCAGAGCCTTTGATATACTCACGTGCATTGTGAGTGCCTAGGTGGTGGTAGGGTGGGGGTGGGGTGGGACAAGTATAAGAGAAGCAGTGCTTCCTAAACTGAGACTTCATGGTGACTCCAAGGTCTAGCCCAGCGTTTCTGGAACATTCTTCAAGAAATGTTGGTTTATAGAAGTCTACTTCACCCTAAGGTCACCAGTTCAGCCTAGTCCCTAACCACTCCCCCAGCCCTCCAAAGGCCCCAAGTCCAAAATAGATGGGATAATTTTGGTGCTTTTCTCTGCCTTATATTCCTGGACTGAAAAGTTAGTCTAATCCTGGTTTCTATATGGGAGGAGTTTCAGTCCCCTTTATGTCCTTGAACTAGATCTCAGCCAGTCCCTTCCTTCCTTCAACATATGTTTATGAGCTCTTTCTCCTCTCTCAGCCTGAAACAATCTTGCCCTGCCTTATCCTGGGCATGACTGACTCCTCATCCGTTTTTGCTCAAATGCTATGATGAGACCACTTTATCTTATGTTGACCCTCCCCTCCCTTACCTCTCTTCAGCACACTGTGTCATTTTATTGTCTTCATGGCACTTCATAAACATAGCTGGAAATATTTATTTACGCATTTGTCTACTTGTTATTTGTCTGATTTACACCCCATTCTCAGGGACTTTGTCTCTCTTGTTCTTTGTATTCCCGATTTCTACAACTGTGCATGACACACAGTGGGCCCTCGGAAGGGCCCAGACTCTGTAGTCAGGGAACACACATTCTAAAGGGAGAGAGATACAAACATGGAATCCCATTGTTACCAGCTGTGCTTGAGATAAATGTAGGCTGTTATGGGACCTCCAAATAGGAACTCTGCTCTTTGGCAGCGGTGATGGGAGTAGACAAAGGGTGTCACAGAAGGCTTCCTACAGGCAACCTCTGAACTGAGTCTTGAAGGCCAACTGGGACACATAATGTTTTTGGCCAAGGAAACAGCCTGTGCAAAGGGCCGAAGGTGAGTGAGATGATTCAGGCAGGTGCAAGTGGTTCGGGGAGGGCCGTTGGCTGGCAAGGCAGGCAGGAAGAGAGGCTGACAGGCCTGGAAGGTTGTGCTAAGGACTTGGGACTTTGTTCTGAATTTACTGAGGAGCAGTGAAATTGGCAGGATTGTAGTCATGTTCAAACTGGTATTTTATTTCTGGCAGCAGCAAGGATGATGGACAAGAGGGGAGGCCACTTTGAAGGCTTTGAAACCAGACAATTAGTTAGGATTTAAGAGCCCTGCCATGCACTTTGCCCTATCTCTCCTTGCCTTGTAGTTGTTGCTTTGGTGGAAAACATCTTTTCTTCTGTAGCCACATGCTGTAATGCTACCTACTGTTTAAGGCCCAGCTTGAATGAAGGAACCTGGGTACCGTGGGCCAAAGAGAACCAAGTATATAACCCTGGATCTGCTTCTGAGGGTACGTGGCAGAAGAGTATCCTGACCATTCATGCATTTGTTCTGGGCATTTGAGACTATGTAGAACTATTCAATATTTTGTTGTTTCCTATATGCCAGACACCAGGTGAAATGCTATAGTTACAAGGATTATCTATTTCATCCTCACAACTGCCTGTACACTACGTATTATTATTAGTTTTACATTATGGATTAATCACCTGAAGCACAGTTTTGTAAATAAGTTGTTCAAAGTCACACCACCATTAGTAAAAATTAAAATTGGAATCTTGGAAGGTTGGTACTAGAATCGTAATAATGGCATTACCTTGTAAAGAGCATTAGACTAAAAGTCAATATAGTTGGATTCTAGTTAATAACTAAGAGCAACCATATATCCAGCTCAATAATCCAGTAAGATGGGTGTTATCATTCCCATTTTAATAGTGAGGATACTGTGAGTTAGAGGGTTTACATTAATTGTACAAGACCACATAGCTTGGGATTTGAACCCAGGTCTATAGAATTCCAAAGTCAATGATTTTAACCACTTAGAAATGCTCTTCCTGGCAGCTCTGGTACTGATTCATTTGAATAGTCTGTGACTTAAAACTCTGAGGTCCCAACTCTGTCGTCTGTAAAATGGCAGAATTGCACTAGATGGCATCAAGGATCCCTCTACTCTATGATCTGTGGTCTAAGAGCACCTGGAGCCCCTGTTGATTTCTCTCCCTGTTGTTCATGTTCACTGCTTTGGGCTGGAAGCACTACTCCTTGGATAGTGAGAGAGGTATGATTAAAGATGATCTGGATATGTAGCCTGCAAGATGAGCACAGGGTAGGGAGCTGAGAGCTGTCTCCCAGCAAACAGGAAACTAAAAAAGGAGTTGAGGTGATGACAAACCCAAAGCCAAGCTCCATACAACCAATGTATTGGAGGAGAACGCTGGGGAAATGATTACAGAGTTTCAACGTTGCTCAGAGGCTCTATAAGTATCATGAGGAAATAACAAAAGATATGTTAGTGACCAGTGCATGTGGCAGGTGTGGTGCAGGAATAGGGCTGAGAATGGACTCCAGTGAAGAAAAACCAGGGCTTAGCGGATAGTCTGTTGAGACAACATTGTGTTGAGAATAAAGGTGGAGAAAAGCAGGTCAGTTGGGTGACACCTGATCAAGGCAGCTTGTCTAAAATGGAAAGCTCACATGCCATCTGGGGACATTTCCTAGGAAATGTGTTTGTAGAAAACCAAGCCTTGGTAGATAAGTTGCTGGGAAAGCTTTCTGGGGAGAAGATGCAGGTCATGTTATGTGGTTAATTATATCATATTTTTTTGGAGCTTTGAGGGGTACAGTTAGCAATTTGCCTTCTTAGAGTTTTCATGTCAGGGAAACAAAAGTATAAAAGATGAGAAAGGGTGAGGTTTGAAGGGAGTGAAGAAAAAAAGTAGGAAAATAGAAACCTTTGTTGTGCAATCCATGTACAATACAACTGCAATAGATCATTAGGAAGGGAGGCCCCATTCCTGGGTCTCGCAGGCCTTGCTACAATTGCTTAACTGTCTCTGCCTGAAATATTGAGGCAAAGTTGTAAAGACAACAAGATGTCATAGACCCCGAAACGTTCTTGTACTGGGGTACTTTTCTGCATTGTAAATTTGATGAGATTCAGTTCTTTTTAGAAAGGTAA